TCAAGGCCGTCGCCGCCTTCACACTCGTTTCCTCCATTCAATCAGTCTCAGCCGGTAGCTCCAGCAGCAGCTCCGTCTGCGCAACTTCGTCAAAATGTATTCCGTTCACTATTGACCTTACTTGGGCCCCGACCGACCCGAGCAAAGGCATCTCCAGAAATGCCATCCTCACCAACGGCTCCCTGCCTGGTCCCCCTTTGAAAATGAAGGTTGGGGACTGCGTGGACTTTGTCGTCAACAACAACATGCCTAATGTCACAGGCATCCACTTCCACGGTATTCGTCAAAATGGTACACCATGGGCCGACGGTGTGCCGGGTGTTAGTCAATATTCCATTCAACCAGGAACGAGCTACATGTACCAATGGACCGCGGTTGAGTCGGGCAACTACTTCTACCACGCACACTACAAGGGACAAATGATGGACGGTCTCTACGGCGCCATCATCATTGCTCCTGCTGATGATGCCCAGACTCCATTCAGCCAGATCAGCAGCAGCGATGTGGATGCCTTGACCGCTGCTGCGCTGGATGTTGAGCCTGTCTTCGTCACAGACTGGAACCGATACACTTTTGCTGAGTTCTTCGAAGTTGAGCAGACTGCCAACATCGACTGGGCCTGCAGTGACTCCATTACCTTGAACGGTTTCGGTTCGCAATACTGCCCATCAATTGCAGACTTGACTGCCGCTGCGGCACCTCAGGAGCCCCAAGTCCTGAACGGCTCTTCTCTCACGGCTAAGGGCTGCGTTCCTCCAAACAATGCGGTAATTCAAGGCGGCCAGTACCTGGCACTGCAGAACCTTGCCGCTCTGCCCGCTGATGCTTACAACACCTGCATTGGATACGGTGGCTCGAACTTCACCTATTCCGTTGACCCCAGCAATGGATGGGCCGCTATGACCTTCATCAGCCCTGCAGGTGTCGCGTTGGTCCGGGTCACCATTGACAGCCACAAGTTGTATGTGTACGAGATCAACGGCAATTACATCGTTCCTCAGGTTGTCGACCAGTTCAGTCTCAGCAACGGTGACCGTATCTCATTCTTTGTCAAACTCGATCAGACTCCAGGTGACTACACCATCCGTGTTGCCAACGAAGGTATCAACCAGGTTATCTCGGGCTTTGGTGTCCTGTCGTACAAGGGTGGCAATGACGTACCAATCGGAGTGTCCGTCATGAACTATGGTGGTCAGAACACTACTGCCATTGTTCCCTTGAACAACGCTCTAGCTGCACCTTTCCCCGCAAACACCCCGGCACCAAGCGCGGATGTCAGCTTCATTCTGGATATCAAGAAGTCTCCCATCCAGACTACTGAGGCCTGGGCCTGGACTCTCTCGGGCACTGACTCATACAACATGAGCAGCGATGACGAAGTCCCACCGCTTCTGTTCCAGAACCCCTCGAGCATTCCCACCAGCGACTTGATCTTGGAAACCCAGTCGAACCAATGGGTTGACCTTATCATCAAGGTTGCGGGACCTGTTGCTGAGCCCCATCCTATCCACAAGCACGCCAACAAATTCTACATGATTGGTGCTGGTGTGGGCGACTTCAACTTCACCAACGTCGCGGATGCTATCACTGCAGGATATCCGTTCAACTTGGTCAACCCTCCGTATGTTGACGGCTTCACCAGCATCCCCGCCGAGGGTAATAACACCTGGATGGTCTTCCGCTACGAGGTCAACACTCCCGGCGCTTGGCTTCTGCACTGCCACGTCCAATCCCACTTCTCCGGTGGTATGGCCGTTGCTATTCTTGACGGCGTCGACCAGTTCCCTACTCCTCCTTCTGACGTTGGCAAGGTCTGCCCTGGTTCTGGCACAAGCACCTACGCCGGAGGAAACGGTACCTCAGGCACCCAGGTCCAAAACGAGGGGTCTAGCACTACCAGCAATGTCTCTACATCTTCCTTCACCGGTGCTGCCTCGTCGGTGATGGTGTCAACTGGCACCGCCGCTCTTGGTCTTCTTGCGCTCGCTTTGGCTCTGTGAATGTGTTTGAAGCAAATAGTCTTGTAATGAGTTTCCTTTTTTTTGGGTCTGCATTTTTTCTTTGTTTCTTGGGATATATAGTGTGCAATACAAAATGCCAGTTGGAAAAAAAGCAAAGTCCGCAGCACATAACGAATGAATGGATAATACGTCTGGGGAAGATGGCCTGGTGAGCATATGGGACGGCGTGACGAGATGAAATCGCATCCAATCATGTACACAGCGGCGTTCTGATCCATCTGTCGACTGGATAGATTGGTCCAATATATCCACTGTCATTCAAGCAAAAAGAGAAAACTGAGTCGTTCTGTGCGCGCCCCTTCGCAACTGCTGTCTGTGTGCATTATTTTCGCCTGACGCCCACGTACTCCGGATTTTCCGTTCCATCCGTTACTAGCATAAGACCAACAGGGTGCCTTGGTAATCGGAGATTCGCGGCAGGCATAGCCGGTTTTCGAGATGAGAAGGATTTGGCGAGACGCGACGCAGCAGGGCATCCGCGTACTGTCCTCGTCCGAGCTGGACTTCTCTTGCATCTCATTAGGTAAACAGGAGTGAGTGGCACGTCGACACCCTCTTCGCACTACTGACACCCTTGTTTAGTCGCCTGAGCACACGATCACGCTTCTTACGCGCGAGAAAAGTCAATTTGCACCTTCACACGCAGGCTGCGTGTCCAATTGAGTCCGACGCACACTCAAGCCCCTCTTTCACCTTCGCATTGTCTACTTGCAGAAGTCGGTCACGCATAGTGCTACCGCCCAGGCTTACTAGGCTGTCACTTTAAAGTTTAGTTAGGCTGCCGTGGACCACCATGCTTCACTAGCTGCGAAGACGGCGCGCTTTTGAAGATTGCAGGGGTCGCTAACAACAAGCTTCCTTGGGAGTAAATTGGCTTCTGGTGGACAAAAGCTTGGGGAAGCGAAGAGCTCTGTGGACGACGACAGACAGCCGTCTTGTCGCTATATCACGGTTCACTTCACTCCTTGTTTATGCAATTTCGGGTGTGGACTTGGCAATAGTGCGCTGGGGATATGGACCGACTGGGGCAACATGTTCTTGGGCAATTGCTTGCCCGCTTTTTCAAAACAGATGGGGGGAGAGATTGTCCACCTCTCTGCAGCCGGCCATAGGCCCAATTGTTCAACAGCCTTTTCAAATCGTCAGCCGAGGTCGACGGCTTCTCAATTCATCAAACTCAACACCGTCGCACATCTGGCTGAGCAGCTGCCCACACCGACCGGTTTCGGCTAAGGTACCATCCCAAACTGGCGTGCAAGCAATCTGTCCGAAGGTAACTAAAGCTGGTGGACATCTGTGCTGGCGGCTACTATGTATCAATCACCCCCGATAACCCATCCCTATCAGGCGTTGGTAGAGCCATGGCAAGTTGTCGGATTCTAGGTATGGAAATGCCTCGTTGCGACTTGAAGGCTACTCCCCCTCTTCGTCTTTCCACTGTCCAACATATTTATTCACCCCACCTTCTAGAGTGTGCTATTTTCGGGCTCTAGTTCGACCACGACATTTTTGCAGATGGAAATTGCTCCTCCATATTGGACTTTACGGCTTCTTCGACCAAGACCTCCCCAGAAGATCAAGGCACGCTGGCTATGAGCAGAATGAAGGGATATAACAAACAGGATCCAGCTCGCCGTGGGTGGTGGACTAATCCCGAACGAAGATCCAGTTCATCCTTTTACGATCCTACCTTTATGCCAACCCGCCTGAAACATGTCTTGCTTTATTCTTGGTTTGGAGGCATTCTCTGTTGCGCAAATTGTCAAGCTACAGGCGAGGGCAACGCAAGAGGGTGGCAACAGTCGGCCTCTGCAAGTACCGATCGAAGCTCGCCATCATCGCCATTCCATTCCATTCCAAAAAGGCCAATAGTCGGCTCTTCACTTATGCCAGATGGGGCTCGATATCCGAAGCACAACGTGGCAGATGTACTCGCTCCCTCCCATGACGGTATGATTGTTCGAGACAACCGCCCCATTACAGGTCTCGGTGCATCCCCTTTCTATGACATATCTGCCCATTCCCCAAACGATAACAGACACAGAGAAGACCTGCCTTACGACCTTGCACACTAGCACGTACAGCGTGTTACATTCGCCTCCAACACGCAATCCTTCTGCAGCCTATTAGCATGAAGTAGGTGGTGCTGGATCCTTCCCAATTCCTGTATTCGGTACCACCGTCAACGCGCGTTCCGTGACCCATTTTATACTTAATTCCGCCCTGGAGAGACCCAGCAGGGTGTAGATTCGAGTCTGATATGAAAAGGAGCCAGAAGGATGTTCAAGAAAGAACCCAGAGCCAAAACACATTTCAATAACAGTGCATGGGTGTCAAAGTGCAGCAACACTTAGGTTTGATTGAAGAGGGTAGAGAGATGTTTGAAAGATGTTGCGGTTCACGCAACTTGTCTCATTGTCCTTCTACCACATCAACGCACAGCATCAGCCGCGACTCCGAACCCTCGCTCAGTTCCTATCATCATCGTCGTTGTTGTCGTCATCACCCTCGCACTGTCCTTCTTTCACATCTCGCTCGCTGGCCGATCCCATGATCCGCTTCTTCACCATCCAAAATACACAAAAGCCACTCGCCGACCCGACTCGCGCGCGTGGGCCAATACAAGGCCCGGTGCCTTCCTGATGTCTCGCCTGCGTCCGTCTTGCGTCTCAGTCTATCAGGAATGTATAGTGACACGCACCTCCCCGCTGCAGCCGCCCCCGCTACACGACCCCTTGATGGTCAGGTCCCACGGGATCATCCTCTTCGCAAGGCCACCGTCCTCGGGAGGTGGACAGTCAGGCCCAGAAGGGCAGGGGAGAGGCTCGACCTGCGGTCGTGGATCTAGATCTCGTTGGCGACGGCCTCGCAGACGACGCTTTTGGGACAGGGGTCGATGATGGGGCTTAGGCGCAGGCTAGGCGACGTGTTGCGCTTCCCAACACCAACCACGGCACCGACTAGAGATAGGCAGTCGGTCTAGCGCGGTCGACAGTCCAGCCACGGATTGAGGGGACGCTCGCGCGCGCGCTTGGCCTTGAGCGCAACCCCGGGACAAGGAGGCTCGTCGGGTACCGTGGAACCAGGAGTTGAGCGGGAGTCGAAGGGATTGAATGGCGGTGGTGTGCCGCCGAGAGAACCTCCCCGTCTGGAAATCGCTGGAGTCGAAGCCGAAGCAGTTGCTGCGGCGATGATGGTCGGGCCGCTGATCAGCGCGTCGATAGTCTCGCAGAGGAAGTGTGGATCTAACGAGGAAATATAGTAGACATGTTAGCATCGCCGTTGTCATTATCTTGGGAAGATCGAGGACATTCAGGACCGCTGTCCTCCACCCCTCCACCTTTCTTCTCTGGATGCTGGGTTTTCGGATGAGAAGATGAATGATTTCCTCATGGGACCTCTGTATGGACTTACCACAGGCGGAGTCGCAGCCCGTGATCGAGGCGTCGCCGAGAGTTTGCAGCGTGCACAGGTTCCAGCACCCGCATTGCACTTCCAGGTGCGACAATGGCGCAGCGTCAGAAGCGTCTGTAGGTACTGTCTGCTGAGGAGATAGAAGAGCGGCGGCGGCGACAGTAGCGGAGGCTGCCAGCACGGTAAGTACAATGGACTTGAGGGTAGGCATAGTGTTCGGCGAGAGCGTCGACAGGAAGTTCCGCGTATGTAATGAGTTGGCTAATGGAATGTGTTGAGAGTGAGAAAGAGCGAGTGAGTTTTCTGAACCTTTTTTTCCTTTGGATATGTTCCCTTGCTGACCGGCTCCCGAGGGATATATATATACTCCGAAAGAACATCATCCCTGACCCAGCAAGTTTCCCTTTCCCTCCGACATGTACTGTCAGTACAACATTTTCTTCTGTCCGAGTCCGCCTTGTCCATAGATTAAATGTGCGTCAAGGGGGAGTGAACGTGGCTCAGCGCAGCCAGTTACCTGGCGATGGACTACACGCATAAACACTCTCCGGTTCTGACCACGTCTCACCATGTAGCCCACAAGTTTTATCTTCAGCCGGGGAGTTAACGCCGATGAAGGATGTTGCAAGAAGACTTGACGATGCTTTTAGGAGAAGGAGAGGAAGAAACCTTTGCCCAAGAATCAAACCATACAACGACGACAACGCCCTGACACCCACCGACACCGAGACAGTAGAGGCTGAAACCGTTGGGGCGGCGGCGCAAAGTCGTCAGCATCGGCATCGGGATAGGCAATTGAAACCTCTTAGAGAGGGAAAGAAAAGATGGTCCTCTAAAGTCTCCCTGTCATTTTCGCATGCATGATGAGAACGGACGGTTCAACACGAGATGGAGAGCCTTGGCCATGGCATCCCAGACAGTTGATTGGATAGGGGCCAGGCAAAAGCCCACATAAACATGAGGCAACGAACAGATTTTTAACTTTCCAGCCTCGCGCGTCCAGAAGAGCAACCTGACGGAGAATTTTGGGTGATTGGGTGCTGAAACGTCCTCAGTCGAGCAAGTACAGGTCAGAGTTCTGGTTTTCTTCATCAGTCACGGTCCTTATCCAGATGATAGTAGGATACATAGGTCCCATAATCCATTCGCTGTCGTTTCTTGGACAGCCGAATTGGCATCAAACCCCTTTTACTACCGCTATAGGATCTCCTGGTCCTCTTCGTCATAGCCCTGATACTGTGAAGTTTAGGGCATAAAGAGGGTTGAAAGTCGATCATTTCAAAGGATCAGCAATGTTCTCAGAGAGAACACAGATAGAACAGACCAATCTATGCAATTGCTGAGACATTGCTAGTTTGACACGACATAATCGACAAAGAAAAACTGACATCAAAGCAATAAGAATTGCTCTTCACAGAGTATACAACTACTACATGAGAGAGGGAGAAGTTAGTTACTCCGAAGGCATTTTACTAGAAAAACCAAACGCAGAATAGACTCCTCCATCGACAAGTAGCTAACACTCAACAAATCTTACACATCGGCGGACCACTGCACAGAAAGAAGCTGCCAAAAGGCATCCACAAACAATACCACGCATTTCCCAGCAATTCGAGCTTTCGCCAATTGGAAGTTCCGAGTCAAGAGCATTCCATATGAAACTGAACCACTAGAAACAAGCTAGGCCAACTACCCAGATCCCCTAGACTAGGTAAACACATACATTGAAACCCCTTCGAAGAAGACCTAAATCATGGGTCATACGGAATACATCAAAATTTCGAAAGCCGTTAAGTGCGAGGAAGTCTCTCAGAGCACGCATACCCAGTCCTTCTCTGGCCTCTTCGTGCTCGCAGCGTTCTAACCCCATAAAGCTAGATACGCCATATTCGATGACATGTACGGCGTAGAATCCAATCCTCATCAAAATACCGGCCAGGGTAGCAAAATCAGTTTGTCATCGGCGATAAGCATACGAAAAACAATGAATCCAATTAAGGAAATTGTCCATGCTAATCTCGAACCCTGGCCCAAGAACAGAACTTGGGCCATGACACGAACAAATGGGTAGAAAACAACTGTGTGTTCGTAGAATCACACCACTACTTTGCAAGGTTATAAGTCATGCAGATGGTCCAATAGTAAACGAGCGGACTGTGTGAAGGTCTGGGTTCCTGCACGTTAGGCTTGGAGAGACGCGCACACTCGATACTATAGTCTTTGGATGCCCGAGAGATATTTTTGGCCCCTCCACGGCGCATAGTACAGTAATAGCCGCGTCATTATCACCCATAGTTGCAATTCTGTCGAGAAATAAATTGCTCGCTGTACACGTTATTGTGGTTTGTATGGGGTACGTTGTGGTTCTATACACCTAACAGGAAAGCCTGCCCACCCAAGCCGGAATTCCCCACATCAAAGGCAACCTGGCACAAGGTCACCCGCAACACTAGCTTAGGGGCAGACCAGAAACGATAAAAACTACCCTGCACAAGCCTGCATACACGAACTGGGTAAAAACGAGTAGCTATTTTGCCCGTGTCCACCTACGTCATGCCGGTTGCATGTCCATGTCGTGGTTCAAAATTCCCTTTCATATCCCTGAAGTACCACTAACCCATCTTATGATGGACGACAGTCCAATCTATCCACCTCATTGCATCTAATGAACCAGCACAACGAAACTAGACCTGATCTAGGCAGTCCAGATGGCAGGTAGTGTCTGCCAGTGAGTTTTCAGAGAGCCGATTCGCACATTGACACAGCGACATTTCCTTTCACCCTTTCGGTGGCTTTACCAGGCGCGGGAATTGTCCTCGCAAGTAGAACTAGGTGCAGGACGCCAATCTAATTTATCCTAGTGCGGCTCTTTTGTCAGGCCGCTCTCGAAAAAGATGGAGCAGGCGCATGAACACTGTCTAGTTGGTGGTGCCTTCACGACGTCATTTCTCTTGCCTTTCTAGCCATATTATCCAGAGCACAGTGCTGAACGGAAAAAGACATAAAAGCTCTCGTCATTCCCGTCAACCTGGAGAGATTATTATCAGTTAATCGCACTTCCACCACGATCTGGACAGCTTAATTCTGTAATCCTAATTCACCAAAGAACATCTCAATATGGACCACCTGCCCATCCCGATAGACGCATCAGCACACGAGCGGGTGAAATTTTTTGTGGAAGATGAGAGGCCGTTCTCCACCGATGACTTCTTCAATCTTCCATTAAAAGGGGACTACAAGTTTGAGGATTTCGACGAGTTGGTGGAGCATGGACTGAACCGAAAACATTGGACAAAAAAGAAGGCAAACCAATTTCTGCAGGAGTGGCTCTTTTTCAGCCTGCTTGCTGTAGTCTTGGGAGAGTCAATCAATCCACTCAGCTTCGTGGACAGCAGTCGGACTGTCGAGAAGACCATATCGACAGAGGGACTTAACGAATTCCTCGCGGGTTGGAGTGAACGGATGAAGCAGGGGGGTGAGAAGGAAAAGATTCTTTACTTACGCGGCGGCATAGCACTGGAAAATGCACGAAGATTCGTGTGCAAACACCTGTCGCTCGAAAACTATGACTATGGCCTAAATGAAGTGGTCCAGCGAAAGGAGCTCCATGGCATTCACGAGGAAGTAGACAAGAAATTGGCTCTCTCAATTGCCGTTCTTGGAGAAACGCTGCAAGGGGTGCGGGCAAAGTTGATCATCAGTCCAGAGAACCGTTCCCACTTCTGGATGGACCCTAAAACAGAGGCGAAGAGTTGGGGGAGTAGTACGTTTTGCAGGGAGAAAATGAAGGGCCGCGGCTGTTGCGATAACGACATTCGCCTCCTTGAATCGACAATGCCAGGTGTTTGCGGTGCTTACTACGCCCACAGGCTCAAAAATATGCCAACTAACGGCGATCATGATGTCCAAAACTGTTCATTGTGGAAATGCCAGGCCCAGAAGCAGCAACAGGAGGCCCTCCACCAGACATCCTGTGATCGTCAGAACTGCAAACTACTTGGTACAGGACGGGAAAGCCTACAAATCACCCAACACATCAAGGCAGGCAAGACACCTCTGCTGAGTTTTGCCAACGGGGAAATCAACGTGCAGGCATACGACCTACAGAAAGAAGATGTGTCATTCGGTGCAGTCTCCCACGGTTGGGGAGATCGCATTTTCGACTCTACCAAGGACTCTGGAGGGAGCAACACATGTCAAATCAACCAGTGCCAAATACAGAGCTTGCAGAAAAGCTTCAATGAGCTCATAGGGAAATCAATTGTTAAGAACCGGAGAGATGAGAACACCTTTTTCTGGGTTGATTTGTTGTGTTTCCCAAAGAGGGATTCGATGACGGCAAAGGCAATAGACCAACTGAAGACTGTCTTTAAAAAAGCAAAGGCGGTCATTGTCTGGGACAGAAATTTGCTCTCAACGCATAAAAAGCAGCCTGAGGATACAATTGAGATGAATGTCAGGATGCGACTCGGAGGCTGGTCACGAAGATTGTGGACTCTTCAAGAAGCTGTCCTTGCCCAAAAATTATACTTCGAGTTTCAAAACCGAAAGTTCCTTAGTTTGGAGGAAATCAACGATGCGAGAGAAAAGGCAGAACAAGACACGAGCAACCCCTTCCACCACATCTGGAAAGCTGGGTACCCCTTTGGCAAGGCCGTCTCGAGACTGAGAGTGAAACACTCAAAGGACAAGGTGGCGAGGGCATGGGAGGCACTGCAGTTTCGATATTGCAGCGCCCCTGAAGACGAGGCACTGGTGTTGGCTAACATCTTGGACGGTGTTAACGTGGCCAAGATTGAAGAAATCACAATGAAAGAGGATGAAGATCGAGAAACCTTGGCGGCGAAAAGAATGGCGACACTGCTTAAACTTATTCACACGACCGAGGGCATGGACATACCGGCAAGTCTCATTTTCGTGCCTGGCCGCAGGTTGAACAACTGGAAAATCACAGATTCCAAGGGCTTCGGATGGGCTCCCAGCACCTGGATGACTCAGCAGGTTTACAATTACCGCTTCCTTCGCCAATACCGTAATGCTGGTGTTCCGAGGTGGGCAGGCTTTGAAGTGCGCTTTCCAGGGATTGTGCTACGTCTTCCCGAAACGCCATGGGACGACCCTGAATTCTGGATCCCCGTTCATCAGGCTCTCCACAAGTGGTATAAAGTGAAGATTGATGTGCCAAAGGAAGATTGGAAAACGTTCGAGGCCGATAGGATCCGGACAGCGGATGAACTATCGATTATCATGAGCGAGCACAATCCCAAAGGGCGCTGGACGATTGGAACGCTTGTCAAAAAAATTGGCCCCTTGGGTGACGATACCCGTTGGGTAACCATCCTAGGGAGAGCTTGGATTCGACTGGAGACCAACTTAATCATCATCAAGAAGAGGCGGGATGAGTTTAGGCAGCAGACGGAGCGCATGGCGATTGGGGAAAGATTAGGACCGGACCAGAAATGGTGTATTGACGGACAGAGTGGTTCAAAAAAGCGATCGTTCGACGACTTCAGTAACTCCTAGGTATTAGTTAGCCGTTTCCAGGCTCGGGTGATCACCTGTTTTGATAAGTCTATTATATTATGCAAGGCTACCAAACTCTTGAAAACACCCTTGGTGACCAATTTTAGATCTTAGTTGGCCAGCACGAGGATAGCCTACGGACATAAATGCAGGACGAAAGGGGACCGTTCAGGCAAGGGCGACATAAAGGGTGAGGACTCGGTAGGTAAGTGAGAGAAGGTGAGAAGAGAGTGAGTGGTAAGCAAGTGGCTTTGAAAGCGGCGCGGTCGGGGTGAGTCCTAAAGTGACATCCAAGCAGGGTTTATTCTGCTCGTGCGTGCGGCTAAGCATGTCGCGTATCAGCTCGTATCCGGACCTTCCAGTCCTTCAGCCTCCAGTGAAAAGACCATGCGTATTCGTCGTCATTGACGCCTAATTGAGTATGGCGAGGCTTAAGAGCGCGAACCAGAATATAGAGGTAAACGATGGCGAGGCTGGCGACGAGGTCAGCAAGGCGAGCGAGGCTTCGTCACAGTACTCGCCTCGCAACTGACCTCGCTGCCGCCGACCCAAAGGCGGCGATTATGACAATGTTCTCTGTAAATGATAGTGCTAGTTGACTATAGAGTGGGTTGACGCGTAGTGTGTTGCTTGGGAGGTGCATTACTTGATGGGCGGACTTAACAAGAGCCCGAAGGGGATCCTGGAGCGCTCAAACGGGACATCGAAAGAGATGGTTGGGTCGCAGGGCTTCTTGGCATCCCGAGTCAAACCGTCGATTCGAGACTGCAAACGCAGGCACCTAGCAGCGATCAAGCTCATCCATCAACTTCTTATCTTCTCCCCAGATTCAACCCGGCCAGCCGCAAAGCGAAGCGCCGTCATTACCTTGTCCAGTTCTCGCCTTTCGTTAACATTCTCTTGATGCGTTGGATTCTCCCCCGCTCCTCCTAGACGTCCACGCGATCTCGTCTCAATCGAAAACCATTCTCCCCTCAGTCATCTCTCTCCACCCTCCGCAATCATGAAAACACCAGTTTATTCCCTGCTGCCACTTCTCCTATCGGTATCACATCTTGCCGCCTCTGTGTCGATAGACTGTCAACATATTCGGGTCGACGGCAAGAAGTTTGACCTATCAAAGCTCGCGGGCCGTCATTCCGTCAGTGTTCACGACACATCGAGACCACCTGCCGAGTACAACACCACATGGACGATTGACCTTTGTGCGCCGCTGAAGAAGCTTGAGGGTATAAGAGACCAGGATCAATGTCCGGGGGGAACACGAGGTAAGTCTTGGAATCTATCTCATTCAATGGAGAGGAGCAACCACATAGGGTGAACGTGGGCTTATTCTACCCTTTCCAACAGTATGCGGCGTCGTCCGATCCTGGAATCCCGCCGATGACCCCGAGAAGAAACACGTCGAAGTCGAGAACGTGATCCCCGTCGCTGGGAACTTCGAATCTAGCACAGGCGCCAGTCTGGACCCCAAAGTGTCACGGTTGAAAGCGCAGGATTCGAACTCGGATGGCCTACAGATCGAGTTGAACGGCGGCAATTACAATAACATGAAGCAAAAAGCGGTGGTACAGTTAACGTGCGACAAGGACCGGACGGGCAATGAAGAGAAGAGGAAAAGGAGTCTGAAGCGCGATGGTGAGGACACTGAAAAAGACAAGGACAAGGAGGAGCAACCGAGCACGTCCAGCTTGACATTTGTGAGCTACGGCAAGGTCGAGGGAAAGGATAAGATTGAGGTTTTGAGACTCAATTGGCGGACAAAGTACGCTTGCGAGGACTATGCGGACAGCGACGAGGCGAGGAAGAGCGGTTGGGGTTTCTTTACTTGGTTTGTTCTGATGTAAGTGTTACCTCCGGGTTTTCCGGGAATGTTTCTGTGCTTTTCTTTATTTCCCCTTCCCCTTTATCCCTCCTGACATGACATACGCTGACCGAGTATGCCCAAAAAAGCGCCTTCTTGGGCATCGCCGCCTACCTCATCTTCGGCTCGTGGCTGAACTACAACCGCTACGGTGCCCGTGGCTGGGACCTGCTGCCGCACGGAGACACGATTCGCGACATCCCCTACCTCTTTAAAGACTGGTCGAGGAAAGTCATCGACACCGTATCGGGAGGAGGCTCTAGAGGCGGCTATAGCGCTGTATAATGAAGATCAACTTTTTAAAACTGGTGCTTGTTGGAGGAGGAGCGGGGGGATTATTTGGGGCCTGGCACCTACCTGCCTCGTTATGGGCGGCCGCACCGCACTGCCAAGTTCTTTACGTACGGGGCATGTGAGTGAGCCCCCCCAGAAAGGGTGAATTAAAATAGGAAGTTGAAAAATACCTTTGTAGAATAATCGGAGGAAAGACGGACGGAGCCAGGTAAGAAAAACTTGAGGATACGGGGCTCCTTGCATAGCGCGGCGCATGAAATTTGAGGAGCTTTTATTTGTATGTATGTATCCTTTATCAGCCTTGAATCATGCGATTCGATTTCCCTGAGTCATGCTCATCCATCCTCCCTAGATAGGGACCTGGTAGTCATCTTCACTCTTAAGACAATTATCGTGTCTGTAGTCCCAAATCCGCACCTCCCAGGTCGATCATTTTGGAATCCGGAGTGGGAACGAACCATTACAACAGCTGGTCTTCTCCAGGGACGATGTCTCCGAATTTCTTTGCGGATCCGTGACTCCGGGCGACGATGCCATAGGCGGGGAAGTACTGTTGGAGGGGACAGACATTTCAGCGCGTTTCTTTCCGGCGAAAGAGGACTATACAGAGAGGGACAGACTATGTATCTGTAGAGACCGAAAACCTAGAGGAGGAAGAACAAATACCTTGTCCAGGAACGGAAGCACCTCAGCCGTGCCAGGCGTGTTTCGCCAATCTTTCATCAAGAACATCGCGATGCCGAACATGCCGGTCTAAGGGGAGTCAGCCTAGCGGGTTTGAGGGAATCGCACTCGAGGCATTGGTGAGGCGGAAGGGAGAAGTTTTAGGAGAAGTTTTTGGCCTTACCAGGTGCACGCCAGCATTCTCCATCCTCCGATTCGCATCCTCGGCCAATTTGGGAGTCGCAGTCCCGCTGGCCTCAGTATTCGCCCACACCGAATACCCGGCCTCTCTCAAGCTCAGCGCCAGAAACATGGTGCACACCTCGGTGACGATGCCCCCCAAGATGACCTGCTTGCGTCCCGTAGCTTCCACGGCTTTGCGGAAATCCGGATTATCCCAAGCGTTGACCTCGCCGTTTCTCCTGATGAAAGGCGCGTCGGGGTACATGTCGATGATTTCCTTGGGCAAGGGTCCATTGGGACCAGTCTCGGCCGAGGTGGTCAGGATGGTTGGCAGGCCGAAGAGCTTGCCTAGTTCGGCGTGGGCGAGAACATTATTGCGGAATTCGGCGGTGGTGTAGTCCTTGACGAGTTGAAGAAGGCCCAGTTGATGGTCGACGATCAGGAGGATGGCTTTGTCTTTGTCGAGACGTTCGAATTTGTAGGGCGGTTGTTGGTAGGCCATGGCTGCTATGTATCTGCTTCTGTGTAGAAAGAACGTACGTGTCTTAGTCTGAGGGCTAGGATGTCAGGGTTAGAGCTTGAAACAATGACCTCCGAATTTGATGAAAGACAAACTGTCAGGAAGGAGTAGGTGTGGCTGAATATATACACCGTCCTCCATTGACCTTCCTTGCTTGACACCATGTACAGTAATCGCATTGCTTGCCCAATGCTTGTCGAACGTTGATTTCACCTTGTGCTGTCAAGAACAAGTATGGAAATCAGCGGGGACCACGCGAGGCTCGATCAAAAGGGCGAGGGACTTCCCATTTGAGGCTAGATTCGAGGGTTAATGACTAAGATCTCGCGTCCTTGACGCAAGATTGAGCGGAGCCCTGGTGTGGTAAGCTCGGAGTAAGTAGTGGGTGCTACTCGAGCAAATGAAGCCTCGTGTAGCGCTCGACTGATCTAGATTTGCGCATGTTTGGAGTCTGCATCTTGATGGCTGCATACGTAAGAATCGGGTGCTGAGTAACCACTGGCTGAAGGGGATAACGACGATGTATTCGTGACAAGCCGATATGAAGACTCATCTGCACGTGAAGCTGCAAGCAATAATTGTATCATCCCTGGATGGTTAGAGGCAATGCTTTACTGAAGGGGCAGAGAGCCTTGGATTGAGGAGTCAGAGTAGTCAGAAGACGAGGTAATTATATGGGGGGCTGTTCGAGTGGCAGACAGTAAATACGGCCAAGAGCTTTATGCTTCGCCGTGCTAACAGTGATACTGTAAACCATAGCGCCACTTAGCGCTTGGGATAATGAGACAGTTGCCAACCCAGTTTGAACTCAATGAGAAATAGCATACGAGTCACCTCACAGGACTTAAAAAGCTCGATCAAATCTGAGAGTTTAATCCTCGAGCGAATTACAAACAAACCAGACTTGGGGCCTTGCGTTTTCCGATAACCAGTCAGTCTCATCATGCTGTCCAGAAGAGTAGTAAGTCTCATTGTCCCACGTCTGAACCAGATGTCGGAATTGGTCCCACGAGCCATCCAAATGAATGGGGGTAAATTCTGACTTGGGGGAAAACAAGCTCTCCAAAGAGGAAGAATCAGAGTCTACGGACGCCGAAGTCACCAAGGAAGATCAAGAAAAGATCAACACTTTTTCGAGACTGCACAATCGGAGTAAAGCCCTAGAGGAAGAATTGGGCTTGAAACACGTAAGTCGGTATTCATTTAGGCCCTGTTTCGTGAAGAGGCTACGGCAGGTGGCTGTCTTTGGACGGACGACGTGGATAAACTATGGTTCAGGTTTGGGCAAAGAACATGATGGGCTCATTGATGAAAAATGAGCCCAAGGTCAAAGAAAAGATCAAGGTCTTTCTAGCCACCATTGTCGCCATCATTGCCTCCCCAGGGCTGTTTTCTTAAGAATACCGCTGCTTCATCTTGTCATGCCCAACGCACTCACCCACGTCCTCGCAGAAAGACAAGGAAGACCTCGAAGAACTGTCCACCGAACTCGAGCTCGCCGACGAGGACTCATTAATCCCGTAAGATTCCCCCAGGCCCTCCAAAATCTCCTATCTCATTTGAAGAAATGCCCACCGTCTCTGTCACACATGCAACTGGCTGACAAAACGAAACGCACTCGCAGATACAAAATTGGCGACTCGTTCATGCACCTCCCGCTGGCCGAAGCGCAGGAACTGCTGTCGACGCAGACGACGGAAATCGAAGGCGAGGTGTCGGCGCTCGAGGAGGAACTGGAGACCATCAGGGAGCAGATTCGCGGCTTAAAGGCACACCTCTACGCTCGGTTCGGGAAGGGGATTAATCTCGAAGCCTGAGCATGGATTTAAGAAGGGGCGGGCGCACTGGGAACCCGGGGCCCCCCTCCCTTTTGGACAAGGTTGGGAAGGGGGTTTAAGGGGGGATGCGAGAGGTGTATGAGGCGATACGTTCAACGACGACCGCTTGAGCCATTAACAAAAAAAGAAATCAGCTTCAGGGCGTGAGCTGATGGTGGAAGTCCAGCATCTGTGGAGCAGACGCATGGATAAATATCTTACGCGGCCAAATCCCTCGAATCTCAGCTAAGTCATCTCCAATCGCTTGACGCCTCGTGGGAACCGCGAGGATGACGAATGTGGCCGGATGAGGACTGCACGGGAGAAGCGGATTATCACGTTTTGGTTCGGTTGTTAAAAGACGGAAGTGACTGATTCCTCTCTCCGAATCCAGGTCTATCTACACCACTAAAACATCCCATTGCCGTGCCCCGGGGGAATTAGTACAGAAACAGGCAAAAGAAAGAAGTCGTGCCGTCCACCGCTCTACCCTGACAATTCTGAATCAAATCTCATCCAGCGAAACTCCAGGGCGCATTCCAAACCACCACAATATCCTACAACTTACTGTCCGTTGGGTTCTGGTTCAATCTCACAACGCCCTCCTGCACACAGGTCGCAATTAAAACCCCGTCCTTACTCCACATCCTCTGCATAACCAACCCTCTCCCATCGCCAGCCCACGGACTATCCATCTCCGTCAACATCCACTCGTCTGCCCTGAAGGCCCTCGGATTATGGAAAAAGATGGCATGGTCCAAGCTCACCATCATGCCAATGCGGCGTTCGTCCCTTTTGCCACTTTGGGCCATTTCGGCGTGTTCCTCCTCTTCCTCCTTGGCAATGTCTTCAAGGTACTTTCGCATTTCTTTTTTCTCTTCTTCCGAGCCTTTGAAGGTTCGTAGTGTGCGTTCGATGTTGCGGCGGTTGGCGAAGCGTTGAAGACTGTGCACCCGCGCAACCGTGCCGATAAAGTACGAATCACTCATGTATGCCAACGCACTTAAGTGAGCTTGATGGTTATCACCTGGCCGGTTCGCTCTCTGGCCGGACTGTAATTCCTCTTCGCGGACGTTTGGTGGACAGTCGGATATTCGGCCGCGAGCGCGGATCCATTGTCGCAATTTGCGCTCGGAAGGCGGTCCGCTGCGGTTGGTGATGGGACAGCGCACGGATTCAAATGGTCGGTCGTCCGCGCTGACATTCTGGCGGTCGGAGTTCGCGTCCGGTGGAGGGACGACGTCTGTGGGCATTCGGATAGCATGGTCGACGGTCTCTTTTCCGCCAGAGCCCTCTTTCATGAAACTTAATGTCGTCGTGAAGATACACTTCCCCCTCTGTCGCGCTTGTACAGTCCGTGTAATGAAGCTCTTTCCATCTCGGACTCTCTCCACATGATATAAGATAGGAATCTCGCTGTTGCCGGCAAGCACGAAGTAACAGTGCATGCTATGTACCGTGAAATCGGGCGGAATCGTGGCCTGCGCAGCAGAGAGACACTGCGCGATTGCGGCGCCGCCATAGATTCCCCTTGCGCCAGGAGGATGCCAGAGTGGGCGGGCGTTGGTGTAGATGTCTGGGCCGATGTCGATTAGTGGGAGGAGGGAGAGGACGTTTTCGATGGGGGAGTGGTGCGGGAGGGATTTCGGAGGTTTGATGAGTGTTGCCTGTTTAGACATTGCTGTAGAAGGATATGAATATGAAGACAGAAGGAAATGCGCTCTCAGGAAGAGAAACTGGAGGGAGGATGGCAACCAGATGCCTCTCTCTATACGTCAACTCAACGCCGATATGATGGGAAGGTCAAAAGGCTGAGCGAGCTGATGGCGGATGAACGGTCTTGTTAATAATGGCCTTCGGAACTTGTGCTTATCGTCGTACCATCAGCTCGATTGGAGGATATTAGAATAGGCCGGGCGACAAATCGTTAAATCTCGGTTCGACTGCAAGATGCCGGTGCATCAAGAGTGCGCTTCGGGCCAATTTACATCTGATGGATGAGACGAAGCAGGGCGTTGTTTCGGCCAGAGAAATCATTGGGTGAACTCGACTCGCTCGACCAAACAGCCGAGGCTCGTCGCGAGGATTTTCAGTCCCGAGACTCGGGCGCCGAATGGAAAAGGTATGAAGCAATAATAAGCCACGGATCGAGGCATCGCATGTGGTACAATTGAAACACCTCCATAGGACGCCCTGGGTGACACCAGATCCCTAGTTCCGATGACCATCTAGATTTCCTCCGGACTGTCCCAAGAATGCCATTTAGACTTTCGTACATTTACATCTTGAATATGGCCAGAAACCCCCATATATGTCAATACCTCGTACATCAGACCAAGACGCCGCGCTAAAAGTCCAGACTCTTTTTTGACACACTGAAGTCATTACCTATGCATATCTCGTCGACCCTGTCCAGACTGGGTTTGGAGAATAAGAAACCGTCTGAGAGGGCGATGATCCTGGAGTCTGTGGCCATGTACCAGGCTCAGTTCCAGGCGTCAGGAGGACCGATGACCTCTCAATCTCTTCCCGCCGCCGTTCTCGAAGATTCTTGGAAGCTCCGTTGTCGGTTGCCGGGCTTCGATCTCTTGACAGCTTGTTTAAGATCTGCCATTTGCCGGTGCTTGCTGGGAGACTGCCGCTACGGGGTCGCGTGTCAGGCTGGGCCACCTCCAATCTGTCAGATCCCGCCTCCTCGCCTGGCAAGGTGATGTGGTAGGTGCTCTGCGAGTTTCGGTGATTGGGTGACTCGGCCGAATCTCGAGTGAGTAACAGTCGGAGAAGTTGCCGCCGTTGTGCCTCATCTTCAGGGATGTTATTCGCAGTCCAGGGGTTCATTGGGATTAGTTCGGTCGTGGAGGCTGCATCTCCGTAGCTGACATAGGAGCTTCTATCCCATCTTTGAACATGTTGCCTCCTCTGTCTGTCCAACTCCTTGATTTTGCTCAACTTTCTGAATGTGATATAACTGAGAACTCCGGTCCCAATCGTGGTGGCACAGGCAATGACCAATGGTACGTAGATGTAAACCTGGGTCGGAATCGGGAACCTTTTGTGAAGAGCATGGTTCATAACTGTAACGAAGACGCCCATAAAAGAAGAGGTCAATATTGGGAGCAGAACGGCGTCGAAGAGAAAGAGCAGGCTGCGACTGAAATATGCGATTGCTGTGATTGCGCCGTAACCGAGAATAAGGAACACTGCGGCGAGGACCGTCAGGAAGGTACGTGAGACTTTGATGTTCTCCTCGGCTGAGGTAAAGACGAGCGAGAATACGATGTATCCGCCTAGAGCGAGCCAGGAGGCAGCGATGGCAGTAGTCCTGAAGTACCACGGCAGAGCATCGCGTTCGGTGTAAAGATCGAAAAGGGTCTCTCGCATTCGCCGGTAGTTTCGTTGCATCCTCCTTATGACAAACCAAAGAGCACGTTTCGAGGCATTCAGGAGAGGGTGGTGGGATTGAAGCGGCCGAAGAGACTGAAGTGTGGTTCAGGACGTTCAGCTTGCTCTTGTGTAGCTTCTCAGACGGGGACCGAGCCGCTGTTGAGGGCTCGGATGCCCAGAAAGCGAGGTGGAGGGGTGAACCGGGGAATCACCCAAGCAATACTTGGTACAGATTGATGTTTCAACGAAGAAGCAGCACTGAGGACGGCAGCAGTAATAGAGAGAGAACAGGCTGACGCAGAGAGCGCGGTGAGAAAGAAGGACGAGACATCATTGCGCACTGACTGCGCTCCAGAGCAACGCAATCCAGGTCGTATCGCATGGAGGGCGCAGAGGGCGTCAGGGAGCAAAAAGTCAATTACTATGTGGGCGTGAGCACTTAGCATAGTGAGCCGGGACAAGCGGTAAGGCTGGCGAGGGCAAAAGGCGCAGGTGGGTCGGGATCAGCTGAAATGGGGGGAGACATCGCCGCCCTGTTATAGGCGGGAAGGCGCCTGGGATTAGCAATGCAGGGGCCCCTGACGCGCAACAATAGGCCCCAAAATAAATCTTGTAGGGCTGACCGCGACTTTCCGAGCTACCCAGGTTATGCACCCATTACGCCGCAGTGGTTGTCACCATCCAGACTTCCAGCTGACACGTGCCATGGCCCCAACCATCAAGATGTACACCGTACGTACACCACACCTACCTGGCCTTTGCCCCTCCGCCATGATTGTATGATTCCATCATCTTGCTTTTCTCGTACCATTCTCTCGAGTGGCTTTAGACATCAGCTCGTCACTGACGTATGCACCATATGTCCCTCGTAGTCCAAGCATAAATCCAATCGCCGTTGAGACTCTTAACACCAAGTGTGTCACCGCCCAACTGAGCCATCCGCTATCCTCTCCTATCAATACCGGCCAATTGTCCCAGGAGTGAAAGATGCAGAACAACTGCAACATCACAATCCAGTGCTCAATCTGCGTCCTGATCCATTCGGGAGTCATGCTGGGCGCTTGGTATAATGAGCTGGGGTGAGGTTCGGTCAGGAACGAGTTCAGCATCCGGAAAAACCCTTCTTTTTCACCATCTTCAGGTATCGTCCATTCTCGGACCATCAGGTCTCCTTGGTCGTCATCTCCTACAATCCTGCGCCATTCATGGACTGTATATCTCGGTACTTCAATAACGCCATCCCCAGCTCCATAGACCCCGGATCGATCCCCAAGTTTGACAAATGCGCGTCCTTGCAGGATCTGGAGAAACTCTGTGTGAGTCTCGTGCCAATGTGGGCCAGAAGTCCAAGTAGAAGCAACAGGTACGGTGATCATCACACTATCACTTCTCGAAAAGTCGTAGGTTACGGCCTCGGGGGCTGTCCTTTTGAAGACGGTGACGTTGGAAGTCTGTCTTCTTGTGATAGTCATTTGTGCTGCGGAATTCGTTTCTGGCATGGCCCCAGTTGTCGAGCTACAATCGATCTCTTATAATCCGTGTTTATATTCCAGATCTTCAGGGGCTGACAAAAACAGGTACGGGTACAATTCCGCAACACGACCTACCGCGTCACC